CAGACGAGTGCGATAAGCTTCCAACAGAAATTCTTGTGGAACCAAGAAACGAGCTCAAAAAGCTTTCCATTCGGCAAGCTCATCATCCGTATTGGCCAAGGGCCTGATAATGTGGAGGCGTAACGATCGAGTTACCACGTCCTTTGCTTCTACAGCGGGATCAGCTGGGCGGAAGCCATATTCTACACGAGGGTCAAAAACCGACCGTGATGGCGCGCATCAGAGCCGCCTTACGGGCAGCTTCCAGCTGCCGTTTTTGTGCCTCAACGAGGTCATTGGTGATTACACCACGTTCTTCAGGTGACGAGAAGTCAGGAAACGGACATGGGGTCCGCAAGGCGCGAGCAAGGCTTGTGTCACGCCGCTGGTGCTGCTCGCCTTCCTCTTCAATCCGGGAAAAGGAGTGTCAGACTCTTAGTTGACCACCTCCACATCCCCAACGAGGTCACGCGTCGCCGTTAGCGTGCGCGGAGCGTGACGCTCGTGCTCACCGAGCCTAGGATCTACATCCCTTGATGCCGCGGAGACACGGTCCGACATTGCACCGTGTGCGGGAGATGAAGCTGAGCTCTGTCCGTGAGCGCTGTCGGAACCAGCGAGGCTTGGGAGTTCGGAGTTATTGACACAAGGCTCATTGAGCACGGAAGTCGTTCGTTCCAACGCAGTGTCTCACGGACACGCAAGCCTCGTTGAGGCAATAGTCAATTGGAACTGGAAATGTTCTGATTCTTATTGAGGGAGGGTGTAACGGGATTACACATACCCTAGTAAAAGGGGGGGGGTCACACCAGATGGGCATGGTGTGACCACACCCAATCAAGAATACGGTACGTGGCTGGTTGGCCGTAGTTATACATGTATTTACATTTCACTATACATATTTAGGAAAACTTATGCATTAAAAAGTAGGCGGCCGTGCCGCAGATAAAAATAAATAAAGTCAATTTAAATTTATCCGAAGCGTCAATTAGCCTTTGGATAAGGCTATAATTGCACTTGGAGTAAGCGAATTGCGCTAAGCTCGTACATGTTCTAAGTATAGAACGAAAGGTCGGTGACATAGCTTACGCTTCCACTAAGCGCAAAGCTACGGAATCCCAGCTGCACTCCCTCCCATCAAAGTTGTGAACACCCACAATTCATATTTATCCGTCGCCTGGTACGAGCCTCGCTTGACTAAGACACCTCTATATATTCAAGACCTTCTGGATGCATTACGTGCCCAATGAGCCCTGTCTAGGATTCGAAAGCTCGCTGGTTCCAAGTGTGTCCGCAGGCAGACCCCTTTTTTGTCTCCTGCACGTGTCGCAACAACGGACAGCACGTTCGCGGCTTCAAGTAAAACGCATCTCAGGCCCTCGGCAGCCCAACACCGGGATCTGCGCCTGCCGCGATTGACAGATCACCGCGTCGAGGATTCGGAGGATGTCGACTATAAGTCAGATGCTCCTTTCCAGGATGGGAAGAAGATGGAGACGAGGTGCTCCAGCGGTGCAACGTGAGCCTTGCTCGAACGTTGCCGACACCGTGTCCGTTTCCCGACCGGGGGAAGTGATATCATTACCAATCGCTTCAAAGAGGCACAGAAGCAACAGCTGGAGGCTGCACGCAAGGCGGCTCTCATGCGCTTGCATCTACGGTCGGTCCTAGAACCTCATGTGTAATACTGCTCCCGCTCGGCAAATCCCGCTACAGAAGCAAACGCGATCACTCGATCGTTGGGCGTCTACGTCGTTGGGCCCCGGCCATTACACAAGATAATCTTGGCTATCGAAAAGCGTTCGAGCTCGCTTCTTCGTACGAAATCCCAATGGATAGGTACCGCGTTCGACTTCGAGCTCAAAGAGCAAGCGCTCCTGCATCCACGATGCGGACGATTCCTGTGCTGCTCGCCCCTGGCAAATCCGCTGCAGATGATGAAGAGTTCTTCGAGCTCTAGGTGTAGAAGCACCGGAAACTTTCCTCGCTGTCCAACTGACAGCAGAGCTACAAGGAAGTAGTCATGCGTGTAAAATGTCATCTTCCGAGTCTGCTAACTCAAAGCGCATCACAGACCTTCTTCGTATTGACGCCCTGCGACTTTTGGATTATCCTATCGCGCTCTCGCGAGCTCTGTGGTCTCTGACATGGGTGAGTCTGCGATCCCGACAGCTCAGGACCATAGCTTGAGCTCAGCTCACGGCTCTACGGATTCCACAGAGCGTAATGATCCCTCTGATCTTAAGCATCCACGACGTCTGGGCAATCTTGAAAAGTGGCACCTCAACTCCCACGAATTCACAAAGTTTGAGTATCCCCACCACTTTACAAGATGTTGGGGATGACCCTGTCGATGCCTTCGATCCACGAGACATTCCACGTGATAGTGAACGTCACCGTTCTCGTCAAGAAGTGTCGATGGCGGACGATGACGACTTGGTCGATAGCCGTCGGGTGACATGCGATGCTCTTCAAACCCTTGAGGACAAAGTCTGTCGTCATCGGCACTCTGCCGAGCATCTTGCCGAGGTCGCATATCGCTGTGCAAAAGGCCTAGAGAGCTTGGAGCACTTTGTGCGCCGACTGCCTAACGTTGAAAACTATCTCGCTCTGTCGGAACGGCTCCTAGCCGTTGAGCAGATGAATGCGTCACTTCATGCAAGGGTGGATCCCCTGATGCCATTGGTTATTGCACTCCGTGCTCAATACCAGTTGCTGGTCCGCTTTTGGGTGGTCGAGAGCCTGTAGGCGCCGCCCCGGTGCTATCGCTTTTGCCTTCAATTGCGACGGATCCCTATACGGCTTAAGCAAGCCCACATCAAACATCGGGTGGGTGCTGATCCATTTCGAAAAATTTAGCGTTTATGCAGGATTTCGCTTGGCCACGGCCTTAACAGGTCCGATAAATTGTGGACGAAGCATCGTCTTACAGACATCAGAAACTGCATGTGTTGGAAGGTTTATAGCCTTTTTTTAAAACCAGGTCTCCGACGTCAAGGTTTCTAACATTTCTTCTGCTTTTTCCGTCTGCATATTATTTTTTCAAGTCTTGGCTTTCAGCCATCGCATCGCGAACTTGTCGCACGACACTCAGTTTGGTGGACAGAAAGTCATCGATCTCTTTTGATCAGTGAGGGGGTGACATCAGCTAGCCGCTCGACTATTCTTCCCCACCAAACCCTGAACCATGGGATGGCGGCGTTAGCGGGACGCGATGATGAACAAGCCTGCTCAGGTAGAACGGCGTGTTGCCGGTAGACAAATGCACAGCATTGATCAGAGCAATCTCTACGAGTGGCAACATGGCGCTCCAGCGCCTAAGCGTCTCAGCGCAGTCGCTGTGGAGGAGGTCTTCAAAGATGCGCTTCACGCGCTCTCTTTGACTATCGGTCTGCGAATGGTCTACTGTTGACATTTCCAACTTGGTGCACTGCACATTGAAGATCGTCGACCAAAACTTCCTATTGAAGCGTGTGTCTCTATTATAAAAAATTGACTCCGGGAGCTCATGTTGTCGAAATACACGATCCTCAAATCGCGTCGATGTACTAACGCCGTCAATGGAGTCCGACACCCCAGTAAGATGAGTCATCTTGCTCAAACGATCCACAAATACCGTGACACCCGTGTTGCCCGCCGAGTTCTTTCGCAGGCCAACACAAAGTCTATACTCAGGGACTGCCAACATCCTTTGACACGTCTCACACGTACGCACATAGGTGCTCGTGCATTTATGCAGCTTTTGCCACTAGTAGTAGCAACCCACGAAGCTATGGGTCGTTTTACGACCGGTATGATCGTAGTGTGGGATGTCGTGAGCCTCATAGAGGATAGTGTTCTCAAATTCTTCTCGTAAGAAATCTTAATCTGTGGTTTATCCGTTGAGTAAGTACTATCATACAGCGGTCTGCTATTCAATGAGTATCGGTACAGCCGTGCGCGCAGTCGCGACGACAACTACTTATTCCAGTTTCCAAAATCCTTGCTCCCGAGAGCCTGTAGCAGCGCTACGCAAATGTTATCACCAGCGTACACGTCGCGGATCAAATATGTCACTGACAAGGTCACCGTCGTGACATGAGCAAGCTCATAATCAGGTATACGTGACGACGCATCAGCCAAAGCATTCTGCGATCCTGGCTTACACTTCACCTCGAAATTGTCTTCTGCGAAGAAGGAAAGCCACCTGTCTA